AAATATTGATGTAGAATAAAAAATTGTAAGTAGACAATCTGCTGATAGTTATTTTCCATGTTGTTGAATAAATAAAATCATGGATATCAATGAATTAATAAGTAAAGCATATAAAAAATTTAAGATTTACATAAAGAATAAATTTTACTAGTTACATTGTTACAAAAGAGCTTAAAATCAAATGAATATTGTTCTTTTTTAAAGTAGTTACCCACTCAAATTATTAGTTACATAAAATTGAAAGCGTAAAAAAACAAACCTAAAATTTAAATTATAAGAAATTGCAGGTACAATAGAAAATAAAGATGATAAACCATTTAAAAATTCTACGCATTCAAATACTTAAATATTTTGCTTACGTGGTATAAAAAAAGATATTTCCAAATAAAGTATTCAATACATTTTAATATGATGGACTTGTAACATCTAAATGTGGATAATAGAATTCTGATTTTATTGAACCTAGGGATAACATAGGAATTTAATTACAAGTGCCACAATTCTGAGATAAGCTATTTTAACCAGAATTAAAGGAAATATTTTTAAAAGAATAACAAAAATAAATTTAGAAATATAATCATAATATAAGAATGAATAATAAAGTTAATGCATTCAATTTCCGATCTTTTACAAGTAATAATACAAAAAGGAATTATATACGAAATAGTAACTGAAATAATTCAGCGTTTTATAATATAAAACTATATGTGAGACAATGTTATTGTTTGCCACTGTGTATTATCTACATATATGAAAATTTTTTTTATTAATTTATTTAAGAAATATGATTTACTTAATATACAAAACACATTAAATGACAATAACCCCGCAGAAGATAAATATGAATCATTTAAAGTTTTATTACGCATCAATAAACTGCAATTATAAATAACGTTCAAGGACAAATCCAGGAAATGTAAGAAAATTATGATAAAAAGGGATTTTTAAATCAAATATAACAAAAATAACGTAAAACTGAATCATTACTAGTCAATTATAATAGTTAATTTGTATGAATTATTAATTCATGTTAACAACACATAGAATATTTTAAATGTATTTAATTCTTTTATATAGTTTATTCGAATGCAATAAAAATAGCAGCTTCCATATGTTAAGTGTATGACAGAATAACTTTCGCATATATTAATAAAAGTTTAAGTTATTCGAATTATTGCAATATCGTACGTTACACAGCAATTTTGTAAGGACATAGAAGTATGCATAATACGTATGTACTTATCTAACAATCTATTGCTAATTCACATTTTCTGTTCATTCAATGGCTTTCAAATGATCAAATATAACATAAAATGCAGATTTATAGAAAAAAAAGTCAAGTATAAAATACTTTAATTACGTAACCTCAAATTAAATTTAACATGATAATGATCATTTACAACGCTCCTAGATATTTAAGTATTGCATTAATGTGTGCAATAATGCTTTGTAATTGCATTAATATTAAAGTATGTAAAAATAGGTAAAAGATAATCGCAAACAGTTGAAATGCACGTATTAACACAAAATTTATTAGAAACGAATAAAAAGAATATACCTTTTCTCCTTATAGAAAAATCTAGATTTTAGTCGAGCACGTCACTCAACGTACTTATACACTGTCAAAGGTATGTCTAACCGGCAACCGGTTTCAAAGGAACGAGGACCTGGTTTACAACGGAAAACAAAGAACTTAAATTACGCCATCTACAAACTGCAGTGCCACCTATCACAAACTGCATTTTGATTACAAGTAAGTTATTTATATTATTAATTGGTTTATTTTTTTGCCGTTTATAGATTACTTGTATTTAAAATTAAACAATTTATTAACAACGTAAATTATAATAGTTTAAATTGAAAGTTTGATCGTTGTCACATTGTCATTCAAGAAAAACAGTTCTGCCAACATAATTAATTGCACAGTAATATACAAATATATATATATGTATATATATACATATATTTATTTATTTATTGAAATGGTTTTATGGTATACAACGAATTTAATTTTTAAAACATGTTGATAATTGTCAGCATACTTTTAAGATCGTATATTTTGTTTTATAAGATTTAGTATTTATGTACAAGTAATTATGTTGGTACAATTGCTTTTTCTGAATGACAATATATAGGGATCAAATTTTCAATTTACATTGTTATAATTTATGTTAATTAATTTTGTACACATTTATGCATATGTATACAA